TAGAGTAAATACTAAGTATAAAATAAAGTGGCAGAAAATTCTAGATATATCAGTCATACCAATAAATTAAGATGGACTAAATAGAAAAGTAATAGTATGAAGCTAACATAATTTAGTTGTAGAATATTTACAAGAGATAAATTAAAACATGAACATAAAGAGATTAAAAATGAAAATATTGGCTGAATTTATACCTGAACATTAGCTCTTGCTTTCTTGTATTTACTTTTTCCTATCTTTTAGGTAACCAAGATTTGTTACTCTAAGTTAGTTTTGTCATTTTCTAATAATTGTATGCAACAAGATTATATAGTACGTATTTTTTTGTGTTTTGTTTGGTATATAACAGTGATTTTTCCCATATTCATCTATGTTCAAATTACTATATATCAGTAATTTGATCAGTTGTATTTCATTGTATATATCGTGTATATATTTAAGATTGTGTTTGTCCTTCATTTTTGGTGAATTTAAGGTTTTTATGCTGTTGGAGCTATTTTGAGGAACTTAGTTTTATTCTTATGCATTGTTTTCTGAATGTGTATTTTCATTCTTTGGGTAATACTTCTGGTAGAGATATTTTTTCATAAAATGCATATGTATAAGTTTTTAAAGAACGGTCAGGCTTTTAATATCTTTTTGTTTCATTATTTGTAGGGATTTTTTTTTTCTTAAGTTTTTTGAGTCAGGGTCTCACTATGCAGTTTAGGCTGACCTTGAACTCACTTGGTAGCCTAAGTTGGTCTCAAATTTACAGTGATCCTCCTGCCTCAGACTCCTGAGTGCCACCACGCCTGACGTCTTAATGTTTTATTGCCATGGCCTCATGTGTAATGTGCCTTTGTTTCTTTTGGCTACTTGAAATTTTTAAATTTTTCTCAGCAATTTGACTCAGATATCTAGATGACTTACATTTATATTTGCTTTGTTTAGGTTTTGATAAATATCAGCTTCATTGTCATCAAATTAAGGAAATATTTGGCCAATTATTTCCAAATTTTTTATTATTTCTCCTTTCCTTCCAAGACTTTTATGTATTAGATTGTATGGTAGTTCACAGGTTGCTTGGACTGTTGTTTTTCTTCTTGTCTTTTATGTTCTTTACATTGGATAATGTTTACTTTCCTGACTGTTCTGCTGTTTCCAGTCTCCACTTAATTAAACTGCGTGAAGTTTTCCTTTCAGAAATTTTCAGTTCCAGATTGTCCATTTGGTTCCTTTATACAGTTTCCTGTGCTTTCCTTAAATTTCTTCCCTAGCTTCTTCATACTGTTTGTTCTTTAAATCCAGGAATATAATTCTGATAATTACTACACATTTTTTTTGTTTGTTTTGAAGCTAATCCTAGCCATGGGCAATCTTGGAATCTGGTGGTTTTAGAATGAAATCAGAAAGTGAAATTCATAGTGTTTCACTTTTTTTTCTTATTTTTCTCATAAGGCTTTATGTTTTAATTTGAGTTTAATCAAGTTTTCAGTATATCTTATGCTTCTTGTAGGTTTGAAATATTTTAATTATTGATCTAAAAGTCATTACATACAAGGATATATGAAGTTCAAAGATAATAAAAAAAGAACCACTATGTTTGTGGAGAAGATGCTCCACAAAGGGGGAAATTCTTTTTGTGAAGTTTGTGGTATAGAAAAGTTTAAGAACGTGAATCTAGGTTTGGGACATTACACAGTGGTAGAGCACTTGTACCAAACCAGTAAAGCAGGAGCACAGAAAAATACTGTTAAGGTATCAGAGTATTGGGAATAGATTTTCAAACTAATTAAACAATCATACAACCTTACCCATATGAGTTCAAAAAGTAGAAAAAAGAGCTAAAAATTGAATTACTTATGTTGAGGAAAGTCATAGGATGATATGTTTTAGTATGTTGAGGAAAATAATGAAGATTGAAGATAGAAAATTATAATCTGGGAGAGGGATGACAGTTGTCCGTAAACTGAACAAATAGAACAAAATAGGAACTGAACAAATAGAACAAAAATTTATGTTCAAGTACAAACAAATTTGTCCCATGTATTATTGGCCTCAAGGTATATTATATTCATAGTACTTGTTTTTGTCCATGTACTTTCACTTTTCTTGGAAATGTGTACTTAGCATTGGAATAGATGGATCATAGGGTAACTCAGTGTTTAACTTTTGATGAACTCTTAGAGTACTCTCCAAGATGAGTATATAATTTCACGTTCATTCTGTAAAGGATCTAGGTTTTTTTTTTGTTTTTTTTTTTTTTAAATCGGTACCAGGGACTGAACTTACGACCGCCTGCTTGCAAGGCAGGTACTTATGCCCCTGAGCTAAATCCCCAGCCCTAAAGGATCTAGTTTTTCCACACCCTTGAAAGCTTAGCTGTCTTTGATTTGCAGTTTTCTGATGACTAATGATATTGAGCATTTTTCATATACTTTTTACTTTTAGTTTTCTTTAAAAAATATTTAAATCCTTTGTGCTCTCTAAAATTCATCTTTTTATTGAGTTGTGAGTTCCTTTTATATTCTGAATACAAATTCCTAATCAAATAATATACAAGTAATTGACACTATTTTATGAGTTGTATTTTCTCTTTCTTGATCTTAAAAGCATTTTTGATGCTTAATGATCTTAAAAGTCTTTAAAGCAGAAAAATGTCTCATTTGATAATACCTTTTTTGTCCATTTTCTTTGGTTCTTGTGGCTTTGGTGTCATGCCTATTACTGTTGTCTAATTAAGTATCTGCAAGATTCATATTCTTCTAAAATGTATTATTAATGTTTACATTTAGTTCTTTTATCCAAGTTTATTCTTTTTGCCTGTTGAAATAAAGTTTTCACACAATCAGTTATTGAAAAGATTGTTTTTTCTCCTTTGCTTTTCATGGCACTCTTGTAATAAGTCAGTTCATGGGGCTAGGGATTTAGCTCAGTGCCATAAGCACCTGCCTTGTAAAGCACATGGTCGTGAGTTCAATCCCTGTTGCCGACAAAACTGAAAAGTCAGTTCATCATAAGTGTAGGAGTTTATTTCTGGACTGAAAGTTTGCTTCATTATGACAGTTGCTACATCTTTGTAGTAAATTTTGAAACTGGGAAGTGTGAGTCATCCAAGTTTGTTTTTATGTTTAAGGTTTTTGTTTGTTTGTTTTGCCTATTCTGGGTCCTTTGCATCTCTATATTAATGTTACGATCAAGTTGTTCATTTCTGTAAGAATAGATAACTAAAATTTTTATAAAAATTAGATTGATCTATAGGTCAATTTGGGAAGTGCTATAATTTTAGTATATTTTCCAGTTCATGCATATGGATAGTATTCCATTTATTTGTAATTTCTTTTAATGATGTTTATGGTTTTCAATGTAGATATCTTGTTTTGTTAAACATACTCTTTTATTTTTATGCTATTAGTGGAATGTTTTATTTTCAGGATATTTACTACTATTGTATAGAAGTATAATTGTTTAAGTGCTTAAAATACTTTTTTTTAGAATTTTTTGGGAAACAAAAGAATAACAATACAGAATCTCAAAACATAGGAAATTAACATTTGTTAATATATTGCATATTATCTTGAAAGTAATTGAAAGATTACAAGATTTTCGCATGAAAAAATAATCAAACAATGAAAACACAAACTTTTTTGATGAACTAATAGAAATTAGTAGTATAGTTTTCTATTTTGCATATATTTATTTATATACATGTATATATTCTACATATGTCTATATATAATCTTTTCCCTTCTTTCTTTTCTCCTCTCCCCTATCTCAGTTGTTCTTTCTTTTTGAACACTTTGTCTTTCATTGTCACAATATGTGTTATACATTTTGGATCTTATTTACTCTTTTTTTTTTACTTACACAAGGTAAACAATACGATATTTACATATGCGAGTCTGATTTATTTCACTTCTGAGTATGGTCTCTAGTTGCCTCCATTTACCTATAAAAGCCTCACGTTTATCCTTCTTTATGACTGAGTAGTACTCTGTTGTATAAAAAGACCACATCTTTTTACCCATTCCTCAACTGGTGGACATTTGGGTTGTTTCCAAGATTTAACTATTATAAATTGTGCTGCTCTGTACATAGGTACACATGTATTGCTGTTGCATGATGTTTTTAATTTTTCTGGGAATTTCATTTCCTGTAATTATGCTGAATTTATTAGTACTAATAAATATTTTGTGGATTCCTTAGGATTTTTTTACATATAAGATAATGTCACTATCAAACATAACTCATGTTTTCTTTGTAATATATCTTATATATAGTACATAAATGTTTATGTATCTATGTGTATTATGAAAATGGCTAACCTTATGCTTATTGAACCTATAGGAAAATTGTATTTTAAAATATTGGTAATCAATTCTAAAGGAAACAGTCATCTTTAATTTTTAGTCCCTTTTTAAGATCAGTTGCCATCTAAAATTAATTGTCCATGTCAGCAATATATTTGTTGCTGAAAAATGATGCAGAGGGGTTATATTATTCATTCATTCTTTCATTCATTCATTGTACTGGTGGGTGGAACCCAGGGTCTTCATGATGAGCTACATCCACAGCACTTTTTTATTTTTTATTTTGACAGAAGTTCTCTGTACTGTAGTTGCCCAGGTAGGGCTTGAATTTGCAGCCCTCTTGAAGCAGACTTCCAGAGTGTTGGAATTATAGATGTGTGCCATCGTATCTGGCTAGAAATTTTTTGAGTATCAAAATAAAGTGTAAACTTATACATTTCTATTCCTTCAACCCAGTTCCTCTTATATTTCCCATTGTTAATGTTGAAATGAAAGAAATTGTTGAGTTCATTATTAAATTTCCTAACTGAGATAATTGTTACGACGTCAGGTCTATAATATGGGACTTGGTTTATACTATTATCTAGATACTTCTGACATTTTGTAAATATTTGACATTGACCTATGTTACTTTTTGTCTTTAGAAGGTAGTTTCATATTTAGTTTTTTTGGCATTGATTTGAAATGTTATGCCTTTTCTTTTACTAGGTATAACCCGGAAAAATCCCCGAACACCTCTGTCTGATCTCCAGGGCATGAATACTCTAAATGAAAAAAATCAGCAGTAAGTTTGCTTTATGTTTTTAAGGAAGTATCATAGAAATAACTGATAATCTTACAAGTATTTTTGTGACTTCAAAGCTATGAAGAAAGTCAAGTTTGATTAGTTTTTTTACTTGCCTCAATTATTTCTGGTATAATGGCTCTATAATTTTAAGGAGGTTTTCTAGAATATAATTACAGGAACTTAGCTTTTACCACTTTCAACAAAGAATTTTTTTTAGAACAATGTGAAAGTGACAAATAGCTTGACATGGCAGTGCACATTTCTAACCTCAGTTCACGAGAAGGCCAAGGTCACAAGCTCAAACCTGGATTTGAGTCACTTAATGAGACCCTATTTCAAAAAAAGAAATTTTTTTAAATTTCCTTTTTCAATTTTCAATTTTCCCAATTTTAAAAAAGGAAGCTTTTGGATTCTCTCTGTGGAATTTTCCTTGTATGTGAACCTTATGGGATCATAAAAACTCAGAAAATTTCTTTTTATCGTTTTGTTTGACAGCACTCTTAACAAAGCATGAGGGCTATTTTCACATCCTGAAGTTCTCAGCTGCATTTTATAGAGACATAGATGATTACTTTGTGAAAATGTACAGGCAACTTGGAACAGTAGCTTTCTCATCTATTTATAGGTGACCATGATAAAAGTACAGTATGAAGAATTTGTTTTGCAAATAATGCCTTTTTTTATTCTCATGAAATTAACAAAAGACTTATTTATAAACCAGTAACCTTTTAGCCAATTAGCAGGATAAATGAAGGCAGGAATTCTATAAAAATAATATTCCTTAGCCTAAAAATAAAGTTTTAGTGAATAACAGCTATACTTTAACTCACTTGTGATCTAGGTCTAAAATTTGATGTAACCTATATAAAAACAAGAGCATGTAATTGTTGCTCCAGTGAGAGATAAAACTCACTGAGTAATGATAAATGGAGACAGATGACTTTGTATCAAAATATGACTTGAGGAAAAGCATAGAAGCTCTCCACTAGGCATGGTGGCACCACCTGTGATCCCAGTGCTTAGGAGGATGAGGCAGGTGGATTGCCACAAATTAATGACCAGCCTAAATTATGTAACAAAACCCTATCTCAAAAAAAAAAAAAAAAACTATGCATGTTGTTTAGCAGAAATGGTAGATTATTGCAGCCTCTCAGTAGTCCATTAAGATGACTTAACTGAAACATCTGCATCAGCAGCTGAAAATGTGGGTGTTCCCATGTGCAAATAGCTGATATGAAGGTACAGATGTCAAGTGGAATGTATGAGGAAAATAAACTGATCTGTATTGGGAGAAAATGTCATGCATGCATTCATTTATTTTGGATTTTTTGAGACATAGAGTCTCACTGTAATTCAGAGTGGCCTTGAATTCACTATGTAGCTCATTCTGATCGTGAAGTTGTGGCAGTCCTCCTGCCTGAGCCTCCCAAAATCTGGAATTACAGTCACGTGCACTACTCTTGGCAAGAAAAAATGCTTTTTAAGCTAGTAGTGTGTATCATCAAAATTTAACAATTGTAGCTCACAATAAATTATGTATTATGTAAATATACATGGTCAACTTTATAATTAAATGGTGTCTAATACTATCATGGTAATTGTGAGATATCAAGAACACAAATAAGTTTTATTAAAACTCTTGGGTTGTGTTACCGTTCTCTAGGAGTTAGTATACTGTTGACGTGCACGTACTAGTGGACTGAGAAAAGCCTATTCTTTTACAAATAAACTGCTGCATATTGTGGTTTCTGGTTTCTGCTTTCTAGTATTGATACATATAAAAACACATGATTTGAGAGAAAGGATAGATGTTGTGCATACTTACAATGAAGCAGAAGTGGTAGGCTTTGATGGTCCATTTCAGTGTAGCTCTTCTTGTTGGTCTGGATAAATTATTGTTTTTCTCCCGAGACATTATGTTATAAAACACAACAGTGAAAACAGAATTAAACACTTTTTTTGAAGCATTGCAGTAAAATAATTGATTGCTAAACTTATTTCAGAAATAATCATATTTTATGTGGTTTATAATAATGAGTAGATTGTAAAGTTATTTAGAACTAGTGTGATTTGATATCACATAATAGAGATTTGAAGGGATTCCTCAGATGTTATAGTTAGAAACTCAGCAGGGACAGGTAACCTCTGTTTTCAGTATTGCTCTTGACTTCTGTAGTGATATTAACACCCTCACTTATGTATACTGGTACCCAGTTTCATGCTTTTATCTCTTACTTGGATAAAAAAGGAAAGTTAAAGCCTGGAAAAGCAGGATGCTTTCCGTATTATACAGGTATTGCTTTGTTTATAGTGTATTAGCTTTTCATCTCTGGGACACAATGCCTGACATATACAGGTTGGTTTTGACTCATGGTTTCAGAGTTTTTAGTCTAACAAGGCTGGTTCCAAGGCAGAAACATCTGTGAACAGAAGGGTATAACAAAGGAAAACTCCTCATTCCATTGCAGCCAAGAGCAGAGCAAGGTAGGATGGGGAGAGAGAGGAAAGAGGAGGGAGAGACTAGAGTAAGACCATGGACTAGATTCTGTCCCCAAGGTCACATTTCATGACCCATTCAGACATACCCAGCAGTATCCTTTGTTGTCATATTAGTGTTTTCAAACGAATCAAGTTGGCATGCAAGATTAATGACCTTATAGTAACATTTGGAAATTCTGAAGTCTAAGAAAAAGATACTGTGCTATAGTGTATTATATCACATATTATGTAATTATGTGTACCGTATTGTATTATGTATATTATCAGTATACAGTATTACATGATTATGGAATGATAACAGTATAAGGATGTCAGTTATGTGATGGGCTCATCTATATGTACATTGTGTGTATGTGATAGAATTCCCAGAACTTTCTTTGTTTTTAGAAAAAGATTGATGTTAATTGATAGATAGTCTCTTAAAATTATTTTCTGCTGGTTTAGAAGTTTTTCTAAATCTCAATTTGGTATTTTGTGTTTTATTTCACTTATTTAAGCAGTACACAGTGTTGTTACAGTTTTGTTTTGTTTTGTTTTTTCTTACAGTGACACATTTGATATTTCCTGGAATGTTAGACCTGGGATTCGTCAGAGCAGGCTACAAACTAATACCTCTTTGCTTGATAAAGATGGGGTATTTTCTAATTCAGCTAGTAGCAGACTTCTGGAAAGAGCCCATGGAATTCTCACGTCAGTATTAATCAATAATACGCACCTTTTTTTTGAGTGATTGAAAATTTCTGACTGAAAAAGTGAAGGATGATGAGTTATTTTTATGGATATAATTTTCATTAAAACAAGCTTCGAAAGCACTTGTTCAGTGTTTAGAATTATAAATTTAAAGCACTGGTGTTTTTTTGTTTTAGTTTTCTTTATCTCAGAAGAGTTATGGTTGGATATACTCATTGTGAAAATGACTTTATTGCTTTTTGATATGTCCTACTTCTAGAGAAGTAAATTGCTATTAGCTGTTTTTTAGGATTCCTAGTCGATACTAGAGCGATTGCCCTTTATTTCTGATAGTCCTAACAATTAGGCAGGAGATGCCCTGTAAGTGGTGAATAGGACCATATATCGTGGTATATGGCATCCATCCAAGCCTGCTATTTCTCACTACAACATCAGCATATTTCAGACACTTTGAAAGCATGTTTTTTGAGTAGCTGCAGCTATATCTGAATTAGATTCCTTAATCCATGCCTGAGCCATTGCTTATTAGGATTAATAAACTTAATTTATGTAGGTCTTGCTCTACTCCAGAAATGTGTAGTAACTCATTTAATTCTCACAGCAACTCTAAATGAAGGTGGCATTATCATATTCATTTTTATAGTACAATGAAGCCAAGGTTTAGAGATGTTAAAATTGGACTTTAGTAGGTGGTAGACCTTAGATTCTAGCAAAAGTTTTTGTAATTTAGCACATATTGGTAGCATTGGGCATTTATTTACTCTTTCTGAAGCCAATAAGAATATAAAATATAAATAATAATATTGAGTTGTGAGTAGAAAAAAGCATTTTTAATTTCCAAAATATGAAAAACTATGTTTTGCCAAAAAGTCCACTTTTAGAGATTGATTAAATTTAGGCATCCCTAAATGACAAAAGTAAATCTTTTGAAGATATAAAAAAGCAGAACCCTATTAACATACAAAAAGAAAAAACTGTACTTTGTAATGTACAATTACATTATTGATCATCAGGCTTAATCTGCTTATTTCTGTGTTAGAAAGCAGGTATCAATTTCCCTTGTTTCTTTCTTTCTTTTTTTTGTTTTTGGTACTGGGGATCAAACTCATGACCTCACATTTGCCAAGCAGGCGCTTACACCTCTAAGCCAAACCCTGGCCCTTCCCTTGTTTTTTATCCTTGCTTTACCCTTCCTCCCCAAAGGTACGTGCTTGACTAAGCCGTATAATATCTTCTTATAGAAGACCTACATTCTTAGTAATTGGTAATCCATGGTTTAGGTATAGACTTTGAGGTCATTCATCTCAGTGGTGGTTTTGTCTAACAAGTGATTTATTTCTGTAGGAGAAACAAAAACTTCAAATCCAAGCCTGCCCTTCCAAAGGTAAGTATTACAAAAAATTATTTTTTATCACATTGTACCCTGTCACATATTTTTTATTATTCTTGCAAACAGTCTTTATAAATTGATAACAAGAAATACTGTACCTTATTTCTATCCATGATAGGGATTGTGTGCAAATAGCTAAACGCATTTTACAAAATGCTCTAGCTGTGAAATGGCTAAATTTAATGGTTCAGGTAAATTATTTGTTATAAAAATACTATTTTCTACTTATTTTTAAAAACCATGGATGTAAATTAATTTTTTCGTTTAGTAAAGCTATTTTCATTTTTGTCTTGAACCAAATTCTGAATTAAAACTTGTAGTTAGTGTTTATTTAGTCCTCATTTTTATTGGAGGAATTAGGTCTTTTCTCTGTGGAGCTCTAGATAGTCTCTTTGGACTTGTGGGCTCTGATGTGACTGCTTAGCTTCACTCTAATAATGCAAATATGGCTGTAGGTAATAGGTAGCAGAGTGAGTGCTAGTGCAACAGTAAAATTTTATTTATGGACAACAAAATTTGAATTTCATGTAGTTTTTCACATGTCCTGAAATTATTATTCATTTGATTTTTTCATCTATGTAAACCATAACAGCAGTGGGCCAGATTTGGCACATATTTTCTATTTGCAGAGATGACATTTCAGAATTACTTAATGAATTGGTGCTTTAGCATTTCCTTTTCTTCTGACCTCCCAAGAACCTTGTCACTCATAGCATTGTGAATAAACATAATTTTAGAATTTTAAAAGAACTGATAAATAGCTATTTATTCTCTTCATTTCAAAAAATAAGAAAATGAATCTGTTGCTATTCCTTTCCTTAAATCAGCTTTTATTTTAATGAAAATAAATTCATTGTTGGTAAGAAGTCTGATAGTGATGAATATGGTTAAAGCACACAAATTATTTTTGAGTGCTTTGCAATTTTTTATTATAAAATGTATATTGTAAAGAATAACATTTGTTATCATACATTTTTGTATACTCATTTGTCTTCCTTTGTTTCCTTTATTCTCTTTAGTATTTCAGTACTTGAGTGCCCCTTCTGATTATATCTGCTTGCATCATTCCTTTCTTTCTTTTCAAATGGATTTGTTACGCTTTGTGTAATATAGCCAGATGTGGTAGCTTATACCTACAGTCCCAGCCCTTTGAGCTGAGGAAAGAGGACCCTAAATGCAAGTCCAGCCTAGGCAGCTTAGTGACTTGGTGAACCTCTCTGTTAAAATTTATAAACAAAAATAGATAGGCCGGGATGTAGCTCAGTGTGAAATTTCCTAGGTTCAATCCACAGTACTACATACAAAACAAACACAAATTTTATATGAAAATCAATGTGACATATTCCACACATCTGAAATAATTTCAGTCATTCATAGGAAGCCCATTTCTTTTCTCTCTCTTTTTTTTTTTTTACACTTTTTTTTTTCTTTTTTCTTTTTTCTTTTTACTGGTACCGGGGATCGAACTCACGACCGCCTACTTGCAAGGCAGGCGCTTTTGCTGCTGAGCTAAATCCCCAGCCCCTCTTTTCTCTTTTTAAATTGCATATAGATATTTTTAGTGTGTCTTACGGATTTATATATTAGAGCTACATTATCAGTTGCTTATATTAAGGATACTTTTAGCATTTCACTGATACAAGTGGGATTTAGAAAGCTTTTTTATAGGACAATCATGAAAAATTGATCATAGACATACGTTTAACTGTTTTGGCCTTCTGGTAATATAACTGGCTTTTTGTCTTTGTTTTGTTCCCTCAGTGTTCATAGAAACTTTATTAACTACAACTAGAAGCAACCTAGTGTTCACCAGTAGGAAAAAGAATACATCAACTGTGACATTACTCAGAAGTAGAATGTTCAACTAATCAATAAAAGTAATAAGCAATTGATAAATGCAACAAAATCAGCGAACCTCAAAATAGTAACCCAAACAGAAGGAACTGGGAACACAGCATGCAGTAAGCCCTGGGTTCAGTCCTCAGTACCACACATGCACACATGTACACACAATATGCACAGAGTAGATATTGTGTATAACAGCCAAAAAATGAGCTAACATGTAATATAGTGATACAGAACTAAGAGCTAGTTTTACACTGACACACAGCATTTTTAGCAGTTACAGTCTCATAGATTTGTTCAGAGAAATGGATAAGATGCATACTTTTCCAGTTGCTGCTTGAGGGTTAGGCATGTCTTACTGCTAGCAGGAAGATAAACATTAGACTTCTGAGAGTCTGGATGGGTATTAGGCATTTCTGGAGGCTTTCTCCATTCACTATAGCAATATTGCTAGGTCTATAGATTCTTCCTGGGAGGAGTTTGTCCATACATCACTACAACTTCTCCTGCCCAGGGCAAGGCCTTCTGAACCACCTAGCTCTGTGAATCATGGGACTCTGAATTCTGTAGCCTCCCAAGACCATGGGAAATAAAGTGGTGGTCATTCAAAGGGCTTATGTTCACTGGCTCTCCCTCTAGAATGAGAGGGGGCAGTGTGAACTAAGGTGCAGGTATCTGCCAAAGAGCCTCTCCTCATCTTAGTCTTCCTGGGCACTAAAAGGGCAGCAGTTTGGAAAAACACAAACTTGAGAGACACCTCAAGTCTTGTGGCCAGATTGGTTGGTGAAGTCCTACTACTGCAAGAAGTTGTTTGACAGGATGTACAGAAGCTATTGTGTTATGTGTACAGGAACCAACAAAAAGATGAAACAGTGACATATCTTCCAAATAAGAGGACAAGTAAATGTCAGAAAATCACCCTTGATATGTAGTTTACTCAACAAGTTATTAAAAATACTGATTATAAAGATCTTCACTATGGTAAGAGAGTAGTGAATGAACAAACTATTGCTACAAAGAGATGGAAAGGTAAACTATAGTAAATAAATTTAGAGGTAAAAATATAATTGAGGTAAATGATTTAAGTAGAGATTAACAGCACAATCAAGCAGAAGAAAGGATCGATGAATTTGAAGGCAGCTCATTGGCAATTTAATTATCCCATTAGAGGAGCAAAAAGACTGAAAAAGAGTGAAAATAGCTTAAGAGACGTATAGGACTCCATCAGATGAACAGTCTATATGTTATTGGTATGCCCAAAAGAGAAATGAAAGAGGGACAGAAAATATTTGCAAAGAAATAATGGAAGTAAACTTCCTAAGCTTGGGGAAGAAATAGAAATCCAGATCCAAGAATCCCAGAGAACACTTTTAAGTCCAAAGAAATTCATACTAAGATGGGTTGTATCAAAGTTACAGTTCTGAAAGCAACAAGAAAAAAGCAATTTCTCACATGTAAGCATTCCTCAAGAGCTATGCCCAGCAGTCCTTCCTTTAATAAACGAAGGAGTCTCAGACAGACAAAAATAGGAAATTTCCCACAACTACACAAGCCTTACATGAAAGGCTAGATGCAGTTCTTCAAGCTGAATGAGAAGGACGTTGAATTTTTATTTATTTTTGTTACCAGGGATCGAACTCATGACCTCACGCTTGCCAGGCAGGTGCTTATGCTGCTGAGCTAAATCCCCAGCAGAAAGATGTTAATAACGTGAAAATGTAGAAGTACAAAATTCATTGAACTGTCATATTTAAACACTAACATTGTAATCGTAATATATTAATTATAAGTATAATATGAAGGTGAAAAGAGAATACTCTTCAAAGCAACTATTATACAATAATTTGTTAAGATACATAAATTATAAAAAGATGTAAAATGTAACATCAAAAATAAAACATGAGGAAAACGAAAGTAAAGTGTAGAGTTTGTATATGCAAAGTTAATTGTCTGGATAAAATAGTCCATTAAAATGGTCAGTTCATCAAGAATAACAGTTGTAAATATCTATATCTATATCTATATAGATATAGATATATATATATCTCCAGTATTGGGTTGCAATACAGTACAGTAATACAATACAGTATAATACAGTACAATAATGCAGTAGAATAATGTTGGAGTACAATAATAATTATAATATGGTACCATAGTACAGTATAATACAACTATTGTAGATTTCAATATCCCAGTTGCAAAAATGGACAGGCTATCCAAACAAGTCAATAGGGAAACTTTGGAATTAAATATTAGAGACTAAACAGGTCCAACAGACATATAGAGAACACATTTTTCCAACAATAGCAGGATATACTTTTTTCTCAAGAACCCTTGGAGCATATGTTAGATCATAAAAAAGGGACTTAATATTGAAATTATGTCAGGTATCTTTTCCGACCAAAATTTACTCTCAGACTGTACTGAAGAACGGTTACAACTGGTAAAGTTCAAGGATGCACAAATCATAAAATCAGTAATGTTTCTGTAAACTAACTGTACTATTTATTCTACTGTAGTATCAAAAAATTACTGCATAGTAAGTTTAATCAAGGAAGCGATAGGTCTGTCTATAGGAAAATTATAAAACATTCCTGAAAGAAATTGAAAAAAACACAATGAGTAGAAATAGAGACCATTTTTATGGTTTGGGGAAAGTAATATTGTTAAAATATCTATACTGCACAAAGCAGTCTATAGATTGAATACAATCTCCACAAAATTCCAGTGTCATTTTTCACATTAATTAGGGGGAAAAAATCAACATTCATGGGAGTTCACAAAAGATGCAAAATAGCCAAGCTAGTTTTGAGCAAAAGGAACAAACTTGGAGGTATCACTCTATCTTAGTTAAAAATATATTAGAAGATTGAGTGTGGTGGCACATGCCTGTAATCTCAGCACTTGGGAGACGCAGGCAGGAAGATCAGTCTGAGTTTAAGGCCAGCCTGAGTTACATGACAAGACTCTGTCTCAAGAAAATTATATCTAGTGCTAGGGATTTAACTCAGTGGCATAAGAGCCTGCCTGGCAAGTACAAAGTCGTAAGTTTGATCCCCTGTACAAAAAAAAAAAAGAATATATATATATATGTATATAGATACATATAAATATATAGATAGAGATATCTATGTATATGAATGCTATAC